CTAAGCAGCTGTCAGGGTGGCTCCTGGGTTACAGATTTGCTTCCTCACCCGAGTATGCACCCTGGCCTCTGAAGCCAAGCTCCCTCATTGACCCAGGCCCACTGTTTCTGTTAGTTGGAAAATCCACCATTTGAAACACCACCAAACTACTCTGCAGAAAGATGTGATGTTGGAGATGGGTTCCAGTCACCAAACAGCTTCTGAAAATACACCAAAAAGTCCACAGTGGTTGTGGCACATTCTTCCCTATGCGGGATTATTCTGGGCAAAATGAATAACTGAGGCCAGGTAGTCTGGCCTCAGTTCTGCTATCAAGCCTGAGAGAAAAGCATCATATTTTTCTGCCCCTCATTTTATAGGCAGAGGGAGTAACGTGCTCAGGTCTCACTGTGAAGCTGGGACATTGTCACCTCACTCTGTGCTTCCAGGTGGACTGCATGACAGCTTGGACTAGGTAACCAACTGTCTTGGTCTGCCCAGGACTGAGGGAATTTTTGAGACATGGCACTTTCAGTGCTAAAACCAGTGAAGTCCAGGGAAACCCTGATGAGCTGGTCAACTTAGCCTGTCCCCAAATTAGCAAGTCATGACCAGAGGTCACCAGCCTTCCATCCTGCTCTGGAATTGGCTGCCCATGGTAGCTGGAAATGAACAGGGTGCCATCTGACGGGGTAAGACGCTTCCTTCCTGAGAAGCTTGCAGTGATGGTCAAACTGCTATAAAAAGCCTCCAGAGATGCCCTGTCCCATTTTTAGCAGCTCTACTCCATTATTTCAACAATTCTCTTTCTTCTGAAGTACAAGCCTCTACACAAAGCAGATAAATGCCAGGTATGGTGGCTTGTGGCCATAGTCCCAACTACTAGGGAGGCTGAGGCAGGAGGATCACTTGAGCCCAGGAATTCAAGATTACAGTGAGCTATGGATTGTACCACTGCACTCCAGCCTGGGCAACAGAGGGAGACTTTGTCTCAAAAAGAAAAAAACAAAGAAACAAAAAAAAAAAAAAAAAAAAAAAAAAAGGGAGATAGATAGCTCATGACCTAGGATTCTGTTAACATCCTCATGAATGTGGAAACTCCTTGAGTTCCTCAGAGGCTTTGGATTTCTCTTTGTAAAGGATGCCAATCTGAGCAAAGTGTCTGTGATTCAGAAGCCAACAGGAGGCTAATCATACCATCCCTCAAGGGCCATATGGCATGTCACCCAAAAGACACTGGGGTCTGCCTTAAGTATCAGTGAGATGGCCTTCTCTGATTCCTGGCCTATTTTCCAGAGTTGGTTTCTTGCATAACTGATAGAGCAGGGAGTAAACCACCTTGCCCTACAACAGCCTCAGAAGTCACATTTAAGGATAAGTAGATCAGGTTTCTCAAGGACACAGGATCTTGGGGCTAGGCACCCTGTCTATCAAAGGCATTGCAGCCCCTCCCATCAGAACTGCTTTATTTCCAGGAACTCCCCAGGGCTATGTGAGAAGGCAGCCCCCAGTGACCCATTAGGGCACCCTCAGGACCTTCCTGTTGAGCTTTTGCTAGTTCTGATCCCAAAAAAACCATCAGGAATGCTTCCCTTAGTCCAGCACAACCTCCTCTGGGGAGACTCCAGCCCCTGAAGTCCTAATCCAAGGATGAGAAGCATCTGTCCATCCTATTCCTTAGACAAAAGGGCCTTGAGGGGCCATTTGGGAAGGGATCGACACTTAAGAGAAAGAGATGAGCTGAATCAGGAACCATCCCCAGCTCTTCACCCAGAGAGGTTTGTGAAGCTCAACAACAAACATGCTGCCTTCCACAAGCCAGGCGTCGTGGCCAGACCACTAGAGAATTCCTGCCAGGAATGGAATCTGGAACAGACTCTATGGTCAACCATTCCCAGATCAGAGGAACCAGAGGCCTTGGACACCAGCACCACAGAGTCTCCATCCTGAGGCTACATGGGGCCATGCAGGCTGAGGGACAGGCCAGGGAGAGCCTAGCTTTCTCAAATGTTAGAGAGCACCTGGCCCTCCTCCATGACACCCTACCTCCAGAGAGTCAGAGAAGACCAGCAGCCCAGATGCCTGGGAGCCTTCTCGGCTTCTAGGAAGCAGCTCTGCTGCTGAACAGGGCTGGAGAGCTGTAATTATTGAGACAGGATAAGAGCTATTTTAGGAAGGAGCCATCCTGCTGCCAAGGCTTTTGACTTCCTAAACTAAAACAAGATGCACAGAAAAAGGGGGTGAGGGTGGGGGAGAACAGGGAGGAGCATGCTCAGTCAAAAACATCAAATCTTGACCAAAGGGAAATATTAAACCCTTCCCAAAGGTACACATTTGCATCTAGAGGTGAGCAAAAGTCTAGCTAAGAACACTATCATCCCCTAGCTTTGGGAAGGAGGGCGTAACCCTTCCTTCATCATCTATCCATCTCCCTATGGACTCCCTCTCTCCTAAGACTCTCCAAGAGCACTACTCAGTCTCTTCCATCTATTTTGACATTTGGGCACAAACATTTCATATTGTTGTTTAAACGTTTTCTGTCTGTGTCTTATCTCCCCAACCACATGGCAAGTTTCTCAAGGCCAAGGAATGTGTGTACTGCAAAGCTTCAATGCTTCCCCTAAAAGTGCCTAGCAGAGTGCTACGCATCTGAATAAAAACTGTTTATGGAAGGGAGAGAGGGAGGAAGGAAAAAGAAAGGGAGGGACTCACTGTCTTGCATGGAGACAATCTCTGAAGGTAGCCGCTCCCACCTACAGCTGAGCTCATGGCATAAGGCTGGATAAGAACCCATGGCAGTGGAAGGTGGCAGCCTTGTTTCTAGACACCTCCCCTTCAGCTGTTCCATTATCTGAGCTTAGGCCAACCCCCACTATGAACTCATTTGTTTTCTATGGCCAACTGTCCATCCTGAGTCAGCCTATGAATGGGACCCATTAGAGGCCATTGCTAGGCTTTGAATAATAAAGAAATATGGCAAGAGGAAGAATGGAAGTAGGAAGAGCTTTGACCATCTTATCAAACATGGGCCAAGAATAGCGAAAGTACTCATGGGAACAATGCAGTGAAATCAGGACCCTACCAAAAATCAGGACACAGGACTGCCAAGAGCAGAGTCCACCTTGAGTTTTTCCAAGTTGAGGACCCAAATAGTGTGTAACCCAGAAAAGTGACACCTTTCTGGAATGCCCCAGGCTGAAAAGGGGAGAACCAGGTGGGGACGGATCCAGTGGCTACCTAGACGGCCTTCCCACAGAGCACTTGGCAAGATTCATCATCTGCCAAAATGTCTCTATTCTCTTTTTCTAGGACTGCAACTAGCTCATACAGTGCTTTTGTGCAAATACCCCTCTGGAAAGATGCAGACCCACAGGTGAACAGCTTAGCAAATGGAACATACGTTAGATTTCAGCCCCCACTTTCCCCCTCCACCAGGTGCTCTTGTGCAGTGAACAGTCTGCCCAACCATAGGGAGCAGCTCTGTCTCCCCCCATACCCACTCCCATTATAGGACAGGAGAGGGATTTGGATAGTGGGGTGGGCACATGAAGACTGGAAGTAACCTCCCAGGGGTGTTCTTACCTCCTCATCTGTCATAACAGAGAATTAGAAGCCAGGCATTCCCGGGGGGCAGCAAGTGGAATTCAGAGTGTGCCAATAGGAAAGGAAAAAGAGAAATTTACTAAAGATGCCCAGTGGACTTGGGCACACCTGGCCCAATCCCTTTCTAGTGCAAGTGGCCCAAATAATAGCAGCTGGTCTTTACCGAAAGCTCACTGTTGCCAAGTACCGTGCTAAGAGCTTTAGAGGTAATACCTTGTAATAATCCTCACAATAACCCTAAGAGGGAGCCATTATTTCCATTAACAGATGGGGAAACTGAGGCTTAGAGAGGTAAAATAACTTACCCAAGGTCACAGTCAGTAAATAGTGGACCCAGGGCTCAAATCCAGTTAGTAACTCAAGTTTGTACTTAACTGTGCCCCTACTTTATAGAGCTTTGCTGTCTCTGAGGAGCAGGACTGCCCTTCTCTGCTCTTTGCTGACCATCACTAGGAGGGTTCATGCTGGTTGGGATTGGATGGCATTCCCAGGGCTCTCTGCTCCCAGGAACTGCTTTATCCAGAGCCCTGGCCTCTGTCATGCTCAAGGGCTGGAGTGTATTTTGGGCCATGATGTTCACAACAAGAAGCCCCTGCTGCCAAGATTTACTCCATGAAGGTGGTCCCCACCCTCCCCTGTCCCCAGAGAGGCCAAGGCTATAAAGGGAGCAGAGGGTGACAAGGCTGGGGGACACTTCTCTCAAGCATTCTAGAGCTGCAAGATACACTGATGGCCTCAAGGAGAAAGCCCAGACATCTCTGAAGATCCTGCCTGGGCAGCATCAATAAGTACCCTAGGTGGTAGAGTGGGGTCATGAGGAGGGCTCTAAAAAACCAGAGAAACACTTGAGAAGAGTCCCCAGCCGGAATAAATATGAAGTCAACCCTGAGCAAGACTGTGAAGCAGGCAGTATGCTTTGGTGTATTTTTTTTTAATTACATGATAGGTGGCCAACTAAGCTGAAAGGCTATGAGGCTTAAATTATTCTCCATTCCTGAAGTGACTTCCTATTAAAAGGAGACTCTTGAAAATGGAAAATGTGGCCAGGCGCAGTGGCTCACGCCTGTAATCCCAGCACTAATGGGAGGCTGAGGCGGACAGATCACCTGAGGTCAGCAGTTCGAGACCAGCCTGACCAACATGGAGAAACCCTGTCTCTACTAAAAATACACAATTAGCCAGGCATGGTGGTACATGCCTGTAATTCCACCTACTTGGGAGGCTGAGGCAGAAGAATTGCTTGAACCTAGGTGGAGGTTGCTGTGAGCTGCGATTACGCCATTGCTTTCCAGCGTGGGCAACAAGAGCAAAACTCCATCTCAAAAAAAGAAAAGGAAATGGAAAAGATTCCAAGCCCCAAAGAAATTACTCTAATGGTGGAATTTCAGTAAGATGAGAAGTTCCTCTGCTCCTTCAAGTCAAAATCCCAGCATTTATCTCCTAAATGACCCAGCTCTGTAGACACATAGATGCCATCCTCACCTGCCCTCCCATCTCCCAAGCTCCCACAACAGGCCCACAGGAGGGAAAAGTACAGACCTTTCAGCCACCAGATGACACGATTGTTCATTTCCTCAGAGACATCTGAAAGCAACAGAGGGATGGTTGCTTTTCTTCTCCCTGTGGGATGCAAATCCCACCCTCCACTGCTTGCAGCTCCCTTTCTAGCTCCACATTTCTCACCCAAAGGTGCCCTCAGCCCTTGGTCCTCTCCAAGAAGCTCCTCCAGCATAGGACTATATATTCCCACTCTCCCTATCCCTCTCTCTGTGCCCCGTGAATGCCTTCCCTTTCCTGGAAGTCTAAATCCCAGCTCATCCGCACCCCACCCTGTCCACTTTGTTGCCGGAGTATTTACCTGAGGCCCTTATTCTGTTTAACAGCCCTTACCAGCCCTCACCCCAGCTCAGTGCTTCATCTCCACTCAGGAAGCAGCTTTCAACCCCGCAAGCCCTCTTTACTACCTTCAATTGAAAAGGTAAGCAGTGTTGCCTAGAGGAGTCAATGCCTGTCACCTGGCCCAAGCATCGTCATCGATGTCATTAGCTAGGAGCACAGAGAAGCTGGCAGGGAAGGAATGGAACAATGGGCTTAAGTATAGGACTAGCTTTGGCACTGGCAGGAGAGCAGCAGCCCTTAGGCCCAGAATGAAGAGTTGGCCTTTCCTGCCCACCCCAACATCCCCATCTCACTAAACTGGGGCTGCGTCTGGGCAGTCTGCTTCTTCACATACCCAGGAAGAAAGCACTAAACCATTGAATGGGTTGTTTGCAGGCACGCTTGGGGGTCTGTGGCACTTCACTCAGTGGTGCCCCACTTGGAGACTCCTTTGGTGATGGTGGTGGTGATGGGCTTGCCTTCTCTCTCTGGAACTTCAGATCCTCAAATAAAGGGCTAGAGTCTATTTTAAAACAGGACAATAAAGGATCTAGGGAAGGAGAACACTTACGCTCAAAATCAGGTGTTTTTGGCCAACTGCGGGGTATTCCAACTTCAGGATTCAGCAAGGCCCACCATGAGGAGCCAGGCCCATACCTAGGTAAGGACCGAGGAGGCAAGGGCTGAAGGGTCAGTTCCAATTCTGCATGGATGGAGGACTTTTGCGAGAGTTCTGGATACCTGGGTGTGGGTCCTTTGGACATGTAGGTAGTTTCCAGGGGTTTTTGGGTTTGCTGTTTATAGGTGGGCTCTGGAGTGACAAACATGGATGATTTGTTGGAGTCCTCAGACACTGATAGAGCTGTCACATGGTGAGTTGGCTCTACTGACTCTACCTCTGGGGAGAGGGTGACCCTGCGGCCAACCTTGCTGTTTCCTCGAATTGGGGCCCTCACGTTGGATTCCACCTGTGATGATACTAAGACCTTTGTGGAGGGCTTGCTTTCGGGGTAGACAGAATAGTTGTGAAGAGACTCAGGGTCTACCCATGCAGAAACTTGGTGTACCCCATCAGAATCTCGAAGGACAGAGAGTTTGCGTGATGAGTCCAAGTTCATATTTCTATACGAGGCCTTGGGTTCCAAAGGAATTGACCCATAAGGATCTGTTTCTGATTCTTCTACAGGGACCCTTCTCCTGGCTGTCTGATGGTCTGCAGAGACACTGCTGCTTCTGTGCTCTGGGAGAGAAGGACTCCTTGGAGATCTGATCTTAGTAGTAGTCATAATCCTTTGGATGGGTTCAGTTTGTACAGCTTCATCCTTTGGGTAAGACAAAATCCTGCGGGGAACTCTGACTCCTTGGGGGTTCTGGACCTTGGATGGTGGGTCATCTTGTAAGATTTGTGATTGCAAGTTATCCTTCTGGTCTTGAAAACTCAATCGACGAGAAGATTTGCCATCTGGGATCGATGAGGCATGATGGCCAACCTTGTGCCCTGACTTGCTCTCACCGCCTCTTCGTGTTGCTTCCTCTCTGGGTGGACTAACATTCAGTTGTCTGCTTGAAGCATGGGAAGCCAGTGTCTGAGTTCGCTGGCTCTTTGGATGAGGAGAGGAATGGTGGGATGATTCTGTTCTTGGTCCAGTCTCGGTTCCCTGAGGGGTGGGTACCGCATAGCATCCAGGCCCTAACTCCGGGGAGACAGATCTAGGATAGTCTGATGCCGAATGGAGAGTGGAGGGATGTGCAGCTTCTGATCTTTGGTGGGAAGGGTTCAGGGAGACTGCAGCACTTCGATGGCTTGAGGTAAGAATGTACCCATGTCCCCGCTGAGGGAATGTGTTAGTAGTAACCTCAGACCCTCTCTGTGCTGAAACCGATACCTTGGCCCCAGGTTTATTTGTCTTGACAGTTGTGCCTTTCAGAGTAGATCCCATATTTTACCGGCTGGCTTGTATTCAGGAGCCTAATGATGCCTGAATATTTATCCTGTTTTAAAGCTGCTCTTCTTGGGCATCTACAAAATTGGCTGTTGTTCTATGAGTGTCTCAAATAGTCTCCTTAGCTACTGCTCTGTAATGTGATGTCTGGTGATGTCATAAAGGAAGGAGCTTCCTTCCTATTAAACATCCTAGTGTAGAGCCACAATTCTTCACAGAATCCCAAAGCAGTACCTGAAGGGAATATGTGGATTTGTCCTTGGAGTTACATCACCAAGCCTTTGGCAAGTTTTTAACAAAACTGGGATTTTCTTGTATATAGAGAAGGCTCCAGACCCTCCCTTGCTCTCCCCAGATTCTAGAAATTCTCAGGGACTCATCCAGAGAAGGAAACAGCCAGAAGATCCTATGAAGACAAGGTGAAACCAAACATGCTGTGTTCACCACAGTTTTAATAAGGTATAAAGTTGCCCCACTTTTGTTTGAAACTGTACTGTGTACAAGTTAAAAAAAAAAATACAGCTTCAGCCTTTTCCAGTCTCAAGGATTGTTTCATTGCTCCTGGGATAAAAATACAAGTTGCTCAAATAATAAATTCTCACATTCTTGGTCCAGGAGTGTCTAGTGTTTTATTATTAAAAGGGATTTGGGCTGGGTGCAGTGGCTCATGCCTATAATCCCAGCACTTTAGGAGGCTGAGGCGGGCAGCTCACCTGAGGTCAGGAGTTCAAGACCAGCCTGGCCGACATGGTGAAACACCATCTCTACTAAAAATACAAAAATTAGCCAGGTGTGGTGGCGTGCACCTGTAATTTCAGCTAGCCAGGAGGCTGAGGCAGGAGAATCACTGGAACCCAGGAGGTGGAGGCTGAAGTGAGCTGAGATTATGCCACTGCACTCCAGTCTGGGCAACAGAGCAAGACGCCATCTCAAAAGAAAAAAAGAGAAGGATTTGTAGTTAGTCATTGTTTTCTATCATAAATGACTAGTTGGGTACCTAGAGAAATTACCTGAGTTGCCTGGGCCTTGGTTTCTTCACCTGGAGACCACTGCTGGGCACATGGGTGTCACCTTACAAATGTTAATGTCCTTTCTTATGATCCTGTCAGCCATCCAATTAGCCAGACTCTGGTTCTCTTCTGAAGAGTAACTTTCCAATTTGGATGACCATTTTGGAGGAGACTCTGTCACCTCTCTCTCCCTTTCACATGTTCTTTCTCTCTTTTAGACATAGACTTTACTATATACAACAATCTATCATGAACTCTGAAGGGTCATTGAGGTTATAGGATGGTCAGCTTCATTCTTCTATGCTCTACACTGACCATTCTCTTCTGTTAACAGCTTTTCCTCAAAAAAGCTATAATACAATTGATTAGGTTTAGCTATTAATTATGACACTCTAGTCCTGCTTCCCATTGATTTAGCTTTAAATATTTTATTTTGGTTGAGACAGAGTCTTGCCCTGTCGCCCAGGCTGGAGTGCAGTGGCACTATCTTGGCTCACTGTAGCCACCTCCTGGGTTCAAGCAATTCTCATGCCTTAGCTTCCTGGGTAGCTGGGATTACAGGCACCCACCACCATGCCCTGATAATTTTTATATTTTTAGTAGAGATGGGATTTCGCCATGTTGGCCAAGCTAGTCTCAAACTCCTGACCTCAAGTGATCCACCCACCTCAACCTCCAAAAGTGCTGGGATTACAGGCATAAACCACTGTGGTTGGCCTATGTTTTAAGGTTTTTTTTTTTTTGAGACAAAGTCTCGTTCTGTCACCCAGGCTGGAGTGCAGTGGCAGGATCTTGGCCCACTGCAACCTACTCCCGGGTTCAAGGGATTCTCCTGCCTCAGCCTCCTGAGTGGCTGGGATTACAGGCATGTGCCACCACACCCAGCTTATTTTTTTGTATTTTTAGTAGAGATGGGGTTTCACCATGTTGGTCAGGCTGGTCTCAAACTCCTGACCTCGTGATCCACCTGCCTCAGCCTCCTTAAGTACTGGAATTACAGGCATGAGCCACCTCGCTCAGCCAGTTTTAAGTATTTCTAAACCCCTTCTATTCACCAAAATGAAAACAGCTTTGGCTGGATGCAGTGGCTCAGCCTGTAATCCCAACACTTTGGGAGGCTGAGGTGGGCGGATCACTTGAGCTCAAGAGTTCAGACCGGCCTGGGCAACGTGATGAGACCCCATCTCTATAAAATAAACAAATAAATTTTTTTTTTGAGATAGAGTCTCAAAAAGTGCTGTGGGGTGATCTCGGCTCACTGCAACTTCTGCCTCCCTGGTTGAAGTGATTCTCCTGCCTCAGCCTCCTGAGTAGCTGGGACTATAGGCATGCAGCACCATGCCCGGCTAATTTTTGTATTTTTAGTAGAGACAGGGTTTTACCATATTGGCCAGGCTGGTCTCAAACTCCAACCTCATGATCTGCCCACCTTGGCCTGCCAAAGTGCTGGGATTACAGGTATGAGCCAACATGTCTGGCCCAATAAATATATATTTTTAAAAATTAGAAAATAGCTATACAAATAATTATTAAAAGTTGAAATCACCTAAGAGGACCCCTTTACTATTTTAATAAGCATCTTTCCACATATCTTTCTACGCATTTACCATATACAGACGTTTATTTATAAATTTACAGAGTCCTATTATAAACTTCCTAGCATCCTAGTACTAGCATTATTCCATAACATGTTATGATTACCTTTATGTCAATAAATCTATATGTATGATATAATTTCTAATTGATCCACTTATGGTTGTTCCAGAATTTTTTAAACTAGTCCTTTACTGCTGGACATCAGGTCTTTTGTTCTTGCAGGATGGAATGCAATGTCTATTCCTAGGCCTGAGCACAGTGCACTGAAGCCTTGAAACTTCTGGGCTCAAATGATTCTCCTGCCTCAACCTACTGAGTAGCCCGCCACATCTGGGTTGTTTCCGACTTTTCAATATTATAAACAATATTGCAATAAACACACATTTCTATAAATATGTCTTTGTGTATAGTCCAATTTTCTCCTAGGACAATAGTTCTAAATCCTGGCTGCACATTAGAATCACCTGGAGAGCTTTCAAAGCCCATGCTCCACCTCAGACAAAATGATTCAAATAATTTGGGGGTAAGGTCTGAGCATCAGTATTTTTTTTTTAAATGCTTCAGATGGTTCTAATGTGCAACCAGGGTGTGGATAAAGTTCTCTAAATCCTCTCTATTCAAAGTGTGGTCCGTGGACCAGTGTCATCAGCACTGCCTGGGAGCTTGTTAGAAATGCAGGAGCTTGGGCCCTACCTTGGACCTACTCAATCAGAATCAGTATTTTAACAAAACCCCCAAGTGATTCATATGTACAATAAAATCTGTGACATACTGGTCTAAATGGAATTTCTGGGTCAAAAAGTAGTCACATTTAAAATACAAACTGACAAATATCCTCCAGAGAGGTAGTACCAATTTATACCCCCAACACAGTAAAGAAAGATGTCTGTTTCTCCATACTCTCAGCAACCTTAGATATCATCAGTACTTGTCCTCTGCAATCAGCTAGGTGAAAAACAACTATGTTTTAATTTTCATTTCTTTGATTACAAGTTAAACTGAGTATCTTTCAGTATGCTGATTGGCCATATGTACAGCTTCTTTTGCAAATTATTCTTTGCCTATTTTTCTGTTAAGGTGTTTGTCTTTTTCTTACAGGTTATTAGAACTCTTTGTATATTAGGGATATAAACCTTTTGTGTATCCAATATATTGCAATTATTTCCACTCAGTTTGTTGACTTTAACCTTGTTCAGGCATTATTTGCAATAAAGAACTTTTACATTTTTATGTACTAAAATCCACCAATCTCTTCTTACTTTGAAGTCATGGCTTAGCTTTTCTTCCTCCAAGATTTAAAAAATCATCACATATGGCCAGGTGAGGTGGCTCACACCTGTAATCCCAGTACTTTGGGAGGCCATGGTGGGCAGATCACTTGAGGTCAGAAGTTTAAGACCAGCCTAGTCAACATGGTGAAACCCCATCTCTATTAAAAATACAAAAATTAGCTGGGCATGGTGGTGCACACCTGTAATCCCAGCTACTAGGGAGGCTGAGGCAGAGGTTACAGTGAGCCAAGATAGTGCCACGGCACTCCAGTCTGGGCAAAAGCGAAAGATTCTATCTAAAATATATGTATATATATATCCTTTACACATATTTTCTTAACTTTACATATTTAGTTTTTACATTTACATTTTTGTTTAATCAGACATTTATTTTTGGTATGAGGATTCAGCTTTTATATTTTTCCCAGTGGCTGATCAGTTATCCCAAAGTCCTTTGTTAAATAATCTAATTTGATACACACTATCTCCTATTCTTTTTTTCTTTTTTCTTTTCCTTTTTTTTTTGAGCCTGAGTTTCGCTCTTGTTGCCCAGGCTGGAATGCAATGGCATGATCTTGGCTCACAGCAACCTCTGCCTCCCAGGTTCAAGTGATCCTCCTGCCTCAGCCTCCTGAGTAGCTGGGATTACAGATGCCTGCCACCACACCTGACTAATTTTTGTATTTTTAGTAGAGACGGGGTTTCACCATCTTGGTCAGGCTGGTCTTGAACCCCTGACTTTAAGCGATCCACCAACCTCAGTCTCCCAAAGTGCTGGGATTACAGTGTGAGCCACCATGCCTAGCCCACTATCTCCTATTCTTAATTCCCAAACTTTATTCTTTGGTATGTTTTTGGACTATTTGGGGATTTTTGGTTTTTTTTTTGAGACAGGGTCTTGCTCTGTCACCCAGGCTGGAGTGTGATGGTGTGAACACAGCGCACTGTGGCCTCAATCTCCTGGGCTCAAGTGATCCTCCTACCTCAGCCTCCTGAGTAGCTGGGACCACAGGTGTGTGCCACCGCACCCAACTAATTTTTAAATTTTTGTAGAAATGGGGTCTCACTATGTTGCCCAGGCTAGAAACTCTCTATTATGTTCTATAATTCTTTCCACTGTTATTCCAGTGCCATACTCTGTTGATTGCAGCTTCATATTATGCCTTAATATCTGGCAGGACAAGCCCCTCCTCCTTACTCTTCTTTTGCAGCATTGCCTCAAGCATGCATTTATTATTAAAAGTCCTTTAATTTTACTCTTCTATACAATTAGTAGTATTCAGTAGGAGAGTGGGTTTTACTTATTTAACTCCCAGAGAACCAACTTATTTCTGAGTTCTTGGGGGGGCACATCACTATAACCCACTTCCGATACCAACACATGTGAGTAAGTAACATTACTATTAGCATTCAGAAAAGAAGCCAAAAGTAATGTATTTGGAAAAGAGCGACTGAAATTTATTCCAAAAATTTCTTTCTTTTTTTTGAGACAGAGTCTTACTCTGCTGCCTAAGCTAGAGTGCAGGGGTGTGATCTTGGCTCACTACAACCTCTGCCTCCCAGGTTCAAGCGATTCTCCTGCCTTAGCCTCCTGAGTAGCTGGGATACAGATGTGTGCCACCATGCCTGGCTAATTTTTGTATTTTTAGTAGAGATGGGGTTTCACCATGTTAGCCAGGCTGGTCTTGAACTCCTGACCTCAGATGATCCAACTGTCTTGGCCTCCCAGAGTGCTGGAATTACAGGCCTGAACCCCCTGCCCAAAGCCTTGTTCTGAAAATCTCTAATAATCCAAACTTTCCAAGGGTACTCCAATAATTTCATTCAACAGTGAGCTGATGTTTACAAATCACCTATGTGTCTAGAACTTGCTACATATTCTCTCTGCTTTCTCATCTTGAAGGACTTAGTCAATTCTAAAAACTTGGCACAAAACCCACAGAATAAATATGGAGATTGGGATGAGGTTCTTAAAGGACATGTCATCCCAGTGTCAGCCTGCTTTCTGTTGCTATAATTGAAACCTAAGACTGAGTAATTTCTTAAAAAGAAAAAAAAAATGTAGGAGTCGGGAACCTGCCCCTAACCAACTTGGCTCTCAGTAATAGCACAGCAAATTAGGAGGTGGCAGGGAAAGCTATCTGCCCTGTATAGGCAATGAAAAGGTGCATTTGGCCGGGCACAGTGGCTCATGCCTGTAATCCTAGCACTTTGGGAGGCTGAGGCAGGCAGCTCACTTGAGGCCAGGAGTTTGAGACCAGCCTGGCCAGTATAGTGAAACCCCATCTCTACTAAAAATACAAAAATTAGCTGGGCATGGTGGCGCATGCCTGTAGTCCCAGCTACTCAGGAGGCTGAGGCAGGATAATTGCTTGAACCTGGGAGGCGGAGGTTGCAGTGAGCAGATATAGCACCACTGCACTCCAGCCTGGGTGACAAAGTGAGACTCTGTCTCAGAAAACAAACAAAAAAACAGAAAAGAAAAGAAAAAAATGTATTTCTTACAGTGTTCTGGATGCTCTGAGGTCCCAGGCGACAGGTCACATCTGGCGAGGGCCTCCTTGTTGCATCATAACATGGTAGAGGGCATCACAGCGCAAAAGGGGCTCACAAGAGAGAACCAAAGTGGCTTTTATAACTAATCAACTTCCATGATAACCCATAAATCCATTAATGAGTTAATACATTCAAGAGGATAGTGCTCTCATGACCCAATCACCTCTTAAAGGCCCACCTCCTAATACTGTTGCATTGGGATTAAGTTTCACCCTGAGTTTCAAGAGAATAAACATTCAAACCACAGCAATGAGTTTTAACTAGAAGTTGGCCCTTGGTTCACTTTCACAATCCTGAAACTTTGCTTAGGGCACTCTTAAACTCTCTCAAGGTAAGCTACTGTGTTTTACTGTAAGTATGCAAATAATATTTAGTATGATCTTGGGAAGGCCATGGAACCCTCTTTGGGTAGTCTCTTCTTTTGTAAGTACTTTTAGTGTTATTGTGAAGATTAAAATACTCAGTTAACAAATACTTGTTGAGCACCTGATATGTATAGGTTCTGTGCTAGGAGCTGGGGATACCTTAATGAACAACCCAGACATGATCCCTGGCCTGTATAGCTTACAATAATTCTGTGGAGACACGTGGTGGTAGAACATTCTATTGGCTTATAAGTGTGCTACATGCTATGAAATAAAAATGGTTATGTGTGGTGGGCAGGCAAGGAACAATAGGATTATCTTACAGAGGGCCCTAACCTGGCCTAAGGTTCATAGCCTTCAGAAAAACTCCCCGAGGAAGTTAAAGGTAAGCTAAGAACTGAATGAAGTACCTATGAGGAAGGACATTCTGTGCAGGGTGAACAGTATGTGCCATAATGTATTTGAAGAACTGAGAGGAATCCAGTGATGTCTAAGAGCAATAGGCAAAGACCTAAACTAGGACATAAAACAATTATGTTTTTCATATTAAAAAGATAATTGTAGGCCAGGCGTGGTGACTCATGCCTGGAATTCCAGCAATTTGGGAAGCCGAGGCAGGCGGATCACCAGGTCAGAAGATCGAGACCATCCTGGCCAACATGGTGAAACCCTAGCTCTACTAAAACTACAAAAATTAGTTGGGCGTAGTGGTGCGTGCCTGTAATCCCGGCTACTCTGGAGGCTGAGGTAGGAAAATCGCTTGAACCTGGGAAACAGAGGTTGCAGTGAGCTGAGATCATGCCAGCCTAGCAACAGAGTGAGACTCCGTCTCAAAAAAAAAAAAAAAGATTGTAGAAAAAAATATAGAGAAGCAAGAGTATTGAAGAAATCTTTTAAAAAATGTAACTCAGTTTGTTTTACCCCACTCCGTCCCCTTACTTAGAACCTTCCACTGGATTTCCACTTTTTACTATGGTCTACAATTCCCCTGCTCTGTCTCCAGCCTCACTTCATCCCCTACCAGCCTCCTGCCAGACTACTCTCCTCCACACTGGCCTTCTGCGGCTCTCATTAGGTGTTTCCTGTGGGACCTTTGCACTTGCCATTCCCTTGCTGGCATGTTCATCTCCCAGAGTCACAAGACTGGCTCCTTCTCATCATTCCAATCAAAGCTCAAGGGTCACTTCTTCAGAGCAACTTTCCCTTGAAGAGCCCCAGCTAATGTTAAGTTGCTCCCTAACTCAGTTACAACTTTAACCTATTTACCATTTTCTTCGTATTTACCATATAATCTATTTGTTCATTTAACTCCAGGACAGCAGGGACTCTGCTTTGTTCAGTATCACCCCAGCACCTAAAGTAGTGCATGGAACATAGGAGTCATTCAAAAAAGATCTGTTGAGTGTGAGACTGGATGGAAGAAGCCACTTCAGGGAGCTGTTGCATATGGTCCAAGGAGGAATTAATTGTAGTCTGCATGACTATAGTAGCAATAGAAATGGAAAGAAGTGGGTATAAAGGACATAGATTTTAGAGACCTCTTGAGGAGCTGGGTCTGTAGGTGTGCACCACTATGCCTTGCCAATTATTATTTTTTTTTTTGAGACGGTATCTTGCTCTGCTGCCCAGGCTAGAGTATAGTAGCACGATCATGGCTCACTGCAATGAACTCCTGGGGTCAAGAAATCCTCTTGTCTCAGCCTCTCAAGTAGCTAGGACTACAGGCAAATGCCATCATACCTGGCTAGTTTTTAAATATTTTATAGAAACAGCGTCTTGCTATGTTGATCAGGCTGACCTCAAACTCCTAGCCTCAAGCAATCCTCCCACCTCAGCCTCTCAAAGTGCTAGGGCTACAGATATGAGCTAAGGCACCTGGCCTGATAGATTTTTTTATGTAAGGAGTAAGGGAATGGGAGGAGAGTCAAGGATGACTCCTGGGTTTCTGGTTTGAGTGGCTGACTGGACAGCAATACTCTGGAAGGGGAATGCTGGAGGTGGAGAAAGTTAAGACTAAGAATTCAGTCCAAGTGGAGACATCAAATATATGGGTAGTAATATGAGCTAAGAAGAGAAATCTGGTCCTAGACTACAATACAAATCTGGGAGCTGCCAGTGTATATATAGACACTAACTGAAGCCATGGTAGTGAACAAGTTCTCTTAGGAGAAAAACTTGGTCTGAGAAAAGATAGAGGTGGAACCACCTAAGGAGCCTGAGGTGGAGTAATCGAGAGATAGAAGGAAAACCAGAGTGTGACATCAGGAAAGCCAAGGGAACAGACTAAGAGGAAATGACAAGAAGGCCAAAGTATCCATCAGATTTAGGAGTATGAGTAGCTGATTTTTTTTTTTTTTTTTGAGACAGCATCTTGTTCTGTTGCCCAGGCTGGAGTACAGTGGCAGGATCTCAGTTCACTGCAACCTTCAGCTCCTCTGTTCAAGTAATCCTCCTCCCTCAGCCTCCTGAGTAGCTGGGATTACAGGCATGTGCTACCATGCCCAGCTAAAAACCCTGTAGAAACAGGGTTTTTGCCATGTTGGCCAGGCTGATCTCAAACTCCTGACCTCAAGTGATTCACCTGCCTTGGTCTCCCAAAGTGCTCAGATTACATGTGTGAGCCACTGCTTGGCCCCAAGTCACTATGATCTTAATGACTGCTAGAGTATGGAAGGAGTCAAATTCAGATTCTAATGGGCTGAGGAGTGGGAGATGAGGCAGTAAAGATAGCAGGTGTAGACAACTTTCTCAAGAACTCTTGTTGCAGTGGGAGGAGAGGGATGAGACAGTAGCTGGAAAAGGAGGTGAGATTCAGGAAACACTTTTTAAAGATAGGAAAATCCAAGTATGTCAATGCTGACGAAAAGACAAGAAGCCAGGCTCAATAATGAAAGCCTGTAGTCTCAGCTACGTGGGAGGCTGAGGTGGGAGGATCACTTGAGCCCAGGAGTTTGAGTCCAGCCTGGGCAACATGGTGAAACCCTGTCTCAAAAAAAAAAAAATGAGGGTAGGCTGAAGCTACTGAAAAGAGCAATGATAACCTGGGAAGGATAACTGAGTGGACGAAAGATGATATTGGCCAAGGATAGGAAGGACACCTTCTTCAGTATAACAGGAAGGAAAGTGAAAACAATAGGTGTAGACAGGCCAATCTCTAGTGTAGGGCAGACTGCTTCACCTACAACTATGTTGTTCTGTTCTACACAGGTAGATGTGGCCGTGTCAGTAGTTTTGGTTTGGTGGCAGGCAGCTGAGTTCATTCCCGTCTGATGGCTTCTATTTTTTCTGTAAAGTTGGGGGTAAAGTCATCTGTTAAGAGTTTATGCAAAGTGAGGGATGGAAGTCTGAAATAGATAATGACAGTGGGAAAAGAAGCATACTAAAGAAACACAGTGGCTGGGTGCAGTGGCTCATGCCTGTAATCGAGCACTTTAAGAGCTCCAGGTGGGCAGATCACTTGAGGTCAGGAGTTTGAGACCATCCTGGCCAAAATGGTGAAACCCTGTCTCTACTAAATAAAAATTAGCTGGGTGTGGTGACACGCCCCTGTAATCACAACTACTCTGGAGGCTGAAATTAGAGAATTGCTTGAATCCATGAGACGGAGGTTGCAGTGAGCCAAGATCGCGCCATTAAACTCTAGCAGTGAGCCAAGATCGCGCCATTATCACTCTAGGTGACAGAGTGATACTCCATCTCAAAAAAAATTTTTTAAAGGCCTGGCACAGTGGCTCACACCTGTAATCCCAGCACTTTGGGAGGCCGAGGTGGGCGGATCACCTGAGGTCAGGAGTTTGAGATCAGCCTGGCCAACATGGTAAAACCCCATCTCTACTAAAAATATAAAAATTAACCAGGCATGGTGGTGGGCACCTGTAGTTCCAGCTACTTGGGAGGCTGAGACAGGATAATTGCTTGAACCCAGGAGGTGGAGGTTTCAGTGAGCCAAGAATGCACCATTGCACCCCAGCCTGGGCAACAAAAAGTGAAACACTGTCTCAAAAAAAAAAAAAAGAAAGAAAGAAAGGTGGCTCCCTGAAATCCCAGCACTTTGGGAGGCTGAAGCGGGTGGATCACCTGAGGTAAGGAGTTCGAGACCAACTTGACCAACATGGTGAAACCCCATCTCTACTAAAAATACAAAAATTAGCCGGGCATGGTGGCAGGCACTATAATCTCAGCTACTCAGGAGGCTGAGGCAGGAGAATTGCTAGAACCCGGGAGGAAGAGGTTGCAGTGAGCCGAGATCGCGCCACTCACTCCAGCCTAGCTACAGAGTGAGACTCCGTCTCAAAAAATAATAATAGGGGCCGGTAGCCGCCCCGCCCCATGGGGCGCCACGGGCTGGTATCGGCAGCGCCCACTGAGCCAGCCGGGCCGCAGGTGCCGCCCCCGACACACGATGTCCCGCCCAAGCTGATCAGCGCCTGCCGTCGGTCGGTGCGTGCATGAGCCTCGTCGGTCCGCGTGTGTATGGCCGAGAGCCCCTTTTCTCTTCCGCCATGACGCCTCCGCCGCCCCCGACCCCAGGCCCTGACCCCGCGGCCGACTCCGCTGTGGATCCCTGCCCCGGACCTGGGTCATTGGTCGTCCTGTTTGGGGCTACGGCTGGTGCGCTGGGGCGGGACCTGGGCTCCGACGAGACCGACTTAATCCTCCTAGTCTGGCAAGTGGTTGAGCCGCGGAGCTGCCAGGTGGGGACGCTGCACAAATCTCTGGTTCGCGCGGAGGCGGCCGCAATGAGTCCGCAGTGCCACGAGGTGAGCGGCCTGAGCACCGACAGCCTGGCGCAGGCAGAGCCGCTGGACAAGGGACTGCAGCAGTTCTCACAGCTGGTGAACGGGGATGTGGCGCTGCTGGGCGGGGGCCCCTACGTGCTCTGCACTGATGGGCAGCAGCTATTGCGACGGGTGCTGCACCCAGAGGCCTCCAGGAAGAACCTGGTGCTCCCGAAACCTTCTTCTTCTACAACCTCCGAAGAGAATTCCATATGCAGCACCCAAGCACCTGCCCTGCCAAGGACCTCACTGTGGCCACCATGGCGAAGGATTTAGGACTGGAGACAGATGCCACAGAGGATGACTTTGGGGTCTGGGAAGTGAAGACAATGGTAGCTGTTATCCTCTATCTACTCAAAGAGCCCAGCAGTCAATTGTTTTCGAAGCCTGAGGTGATAAAGCGGAAATATGAAACAGGGCCTTGCAGCAAGGCTGATGTGGTGGACAGTGAGACTGTGGTACCGGCTCGTGGGTTGCCCTGGCAGTCATCAGACCAGGACGTGGCTCGCTTCTTCAAAGGGCTCAATGTGGCCACGGGTGGTGTAGCGCTCTGCCTCAACGCCCAGGGCCACAGAAATGGCGAGGCACTCATCCGCTTTGTGGACCTAGCGCTGCTGAGACACAAGCACCACATGGGCGTCCGCTATATTGAGGTGTATAAAGCGACTGGGGAGGAGTTCGTAAAGATCGCAGGGGGCACATCACTAGAGGTGGCTCGTTTCTTGTCACGGGAAGACCAAGTGATCCTGCGGCTGCGGGGACTGCCCTTCTTGGCTGGGCCAACGGATGTGCTAGGCTTCCTGGGGCCAGAGTGCCCAGTGACTGGGGGTGCCGAAGGGCTGCTCTTTGTGCACCACCCTGACGGCCGGCCGACTGGTGATGCCTTTGCCCTCTTTGCTTGTGAGGAGGTGGCACAGGCTGCACTGCGCAGGCACAAGGGCATGCTGGGTAAGCGATACATCGAACTCTTCCGGAGCACTGCAGCGGAGATGCAGCAGGTCCTGAACCGCTATGCATCCGGCCCACTCCTTCCCACACTGACTGCCCCACTGCTGCCCATCCCCTTCGCACTGGCAGCTGGGACCGGGAGGGATTGTGTACGCCTCCGAGGCCTGCCCTACACAGCCACTATTGAAGACATCCTGAGTTTTCTCGGGGAGGCAGCAGCTGACATCCAGCCCCACGGGGTGCACATGGTGCTCAACCAGCAGGGCCGGCCATCGGGTGATGCCTTCATCCAGATGACATCAGCAGAGTGAGTCCTAGCTGCTCCTCAGCGTTGCCATAAGAAGGTGATGAAGGAGCGCTAAGTGGAGGTGGTCCCCTGTTCCACAGAGGAGATGCGTGGTGTGCTGATGGGGGGCACCTTGGGCCGCAGTGGCATGTCCCCTCCACCCTGCAAGCTGCCCTGCCTCTCACCGCCTACCTACGCCACCTTCCAAGCCACCCCAACCCTCATTCCCATGGAGACAGCAGCTCTATACCCATCTTCAGCACTGCTCCCGGCTGCCAGGGTGCCTGCTGCCCCCACCCGTTGCCTACTACCCAGGTCCAGCCACTCAACTCTACCTGAACTACACAGCCTACTACCCAAGCCCTCCAGTCTCCCCCACCACTGTGGGCTACCTCACCACACCCACTACTGCCCTGGCCTCTGCTCCCACCTCAGTGTTATCCCAGCCAGGAGCCTTGGTCCGCATGCCGGGTGTGCCATACACAGCTGGTAGGAAGGATCTGCTCAGCGTCTTCCAGGCCTACCAGCTAGCCCCTGATGAGTACACCAGTCTGATGCCTGTTGGTGACCCATCTCGAACTGTGTTGCAAACCTCCAAGGAATGGGTGTGTTTGCAGAAGAGAAAGCCAGGACGTAAGAGCCAGCTGATATCCTCAGCAAATATGTCTCTCCTGCGTCCAGAAACCAGCGCCCTCAACACAGTAGCTTCTTTCTGGCTTGTCAAAGCTCTCAGAAGGTACCTAGAGGAGCCCAAAGCCCCAGCTCTGTCCTCCACTTTTTCTTCTGCCTGTTTACCCCAAAGACAATGGCTGGACCGTGCATGCAGGGCTGGGAGTGGAATGGGGTAACCAGCTCCTGATGGCCTGAGCCAGGCATCTTGACTGGCACCTGGAGAGCCCTTTGGTCTGTCCTGGCTGTGGCCCATGACGACAGATATCCTGGGGCTGACAGGTCCATGGCAGGCTTGCTTTGTTTTTTAAAATGGAAGCTCTGGTAACTTCAAGTATAACTCTTGGGAGAATGAAGGGTCCATCTGAGCCTCTGAGTAAAGATCCCAATGTTCTACCTCCCCCATCCCTCTCATGGGGGATGGGGAGGCAGAGAGAGCCAGCCCCTACCCTCGGGATATTTGGACCTCAGAGACCATGTTGTGCCAGGGGTGGTCCCACCTAAAGATGCTAGCCCCTCTCTGGGTGAGCCTAAGGAGTAACAGATGGCAAAACCACAAACTATTTTGATGGACTGTACTGCAGTATCCCCAGAAGACATTAGGGGGCAGGAGGCCCCCACACAAAAACTCGGGCCTGATTTTTTTTTTTTTTTTTTTTTTTAAAAGGGGACTTTCTGCTGCTAACTTTTCTTGTACACTTTGGGAAAGCCAGTTGCCCTGAACCCAGCAGACACCATGGAATGTCCTTTGCATGCATTAAGTGGTACAGAACTAAAGCCTCAGAAGCAATTTGGAATTCTGTCTTCTCCTCCATAAAATGAAAAGTTACTGATCAAATGGACTTTTTAAAAGCCACAGGACCCTTCGCATTGCCCCCAGAGTGAGGGGCTCCACACCAGCCCCAGGCAGAGGAACACTCAGACAGATTTAAGAAGACTGTTGGCCTGTCACCATTTATTATTTCAGCACTAAAACTGAGGAGCCTGAACTGCTGGCTCTTCTTCCCTTTGCATTTGTGTAAGGAGCACTGTACTCCCATAAAAGGTTTTAAAATACAAAATGTACAAGAATTACACATAATTCCAAGTGCTATAAACATAACTGAGAACCAGTTCCTTTACTAAACATCCATTTTATAAAATACAAGGTTTCAAACTGAACCCCCCCCAAAAATAATAATAATAATAATAAAATATAAAAATAAATAAAAAATTAGTCAGATGTGGTGGCACATGCCTGTAGTCCCAGCTACTTGGGAGGCTGAGGTGGAGTTCAAGGCTGCAGTGAGCCATGATTGTGCCACTGCACTCCAGCCTGGGAAACAAAGTGAAATTCTGCCCCTGAGAAAACCAAAATTTTTGTCACCTGGTATAATTTATAAACTAATTTATTTTCTGGTGGTTTTCCTCTGGTTAGAATAGCAAGTAACTGTTTCCTTACTTTAAAATGGTCAAATAGATTTGTACCTTCTTATTTTATCTGTGCAGGCTAAGATTTCGAGTGCAAGGAAGTATAAATATAACCATCCATGACATGAACGATTCCATTTTCACAAACTAAAGACCTACTATTTACTCACCAAGACAGAATAAAATGTTAGCTGGCTAGTACTGCAAAACAGCACATAGCTTCTAAGAAAATGTTTTTATTCATGGCCAGGCATGGTGGCTCACACTTGCAATCCCCAAATTTTGGGAGGCCAAGGCAAGCGGATCATTTGAGGTCAGGAGCTCAAGACCAGCCTGGCCAACATGGTGAAACCCCATCTCTACTGAAAATGCAAAAATTATCTGGGTATGGTAATGTACACCTGTAATCCCAGCTACTCGGGAGGCTGAGGCACAAGAATCACTTGAACCCAGGAGACAGAGGTTGCAGTGAGCTGAGATGGTGCTACTGCATTCCAACCTGGACAACACAGTGAGACTCTGTCTCAAAGACCAAAAAAAAGAAAAGAAAACATTTTTTTTAATTATGAAGATTCCAAATTGGAGGTATATTAAGGTATATTAAAAAACTGCAAAAATGTACCTGGTCAGTCATCACAAGAAGCTAAATTAGAAACAATGTTGTGATCTTAGTGGTACAATACAAAATATATGGGAGATAATGTTTGTTCATCTTAATGAGTTCAAACTAACTTAGGATTTTATTGCTACCTGTACTTACTGTTTTTTTTTTTTTGAGACAGGGTCTTATTCCACACCCAGGCTAGAGTGCTAGAGTGCAGTGGTATAATCACGGCTCACAGCATCCTCAATCCCCTAGGCTCAAGTGATCATCCTGCCTCAGCCTTGGAAGTAGCTAGGACTATAGGCATGCACCACCATGTCCAGCTAAATTTTTAATTTTTTTTTTTTGAGACAGAGTCTCACTCTGTCGCCAGGCTGGAGTGCAGTGGCTTGATCCCAGGTTCAAGCGATTCTCCTGCCTCAGCCTCCCAACAGGTGTGCACCATGACACCCAGCTAATTTTTGTATTTTTAGTAGAGACAGGGTTTCACCAGGTTGGCCAGGATGGTCTCGATCTCTGGACCTCGTGATCCACCCACCTTGGCCTCCCAAAGTGCTGGAATTACAGGCATGAGCCACCACACGCAGCCAAGTTTTAAATTTTTTATAGAGACAGGGTCTCCCTATGTTACCTAGGCCAGCCTCAAATTCCTGGGCCCAAGTAATCCTCCCACCTTGGCCTCCCAAAGTGCTGGGATTATAGACGTGAGCTACCACATCTGGCCACTACCTGTACATTGATTGTGTAAGCCAATTCTAGTTGGAATGGGAATATAGCAATTTCAGCCAGGTGGATGGGCTGTAGTTCTGTTATGAGACGCAGATGACTAGTACCAGTATGTATAATGGGTAGCAGCAGTAGCTGCATATTTGTCAGAAACTGAAGCCTCTTTGGATGGCAGTTCTCCCCCCGACTCCCAATAACTAAACTCAGAAATATATCTTTACACAGCTGAAACCTGTTATTAAAAGTAAACATTTTATTATATAACAAGAGTTGAAGTTTTTGAAAATTAACATCAACAAAACCAAAGCTATTCTAGGCACAACCAAAATTTTTTACAATCAAAACTACCTCGTACTCTTCAGAAATCTGACTGAAAACAAATGTTTGAATGTGCTGCTAACAAAGAGGGCCAAATGATGATGTCTATTGTGGCAGCTGAGCAAAGTGAGACTTACAGAACTGTAACTGCTGTCCTGATAGTAACTGAAGCAGGAAGAGAAGAAAGGAACTCACAACCAGGACACTCAAACTCAAGCCAGGAGTCCATGTACGATCCAATTCCAGTCAGTCTGACAAGTCACTCTGATCCAGCACAATTATCCTGTGCACATGTTTTTTAAAGAACAAAAAAAAGTGTTGAGTTGCTGTGTACATTTTTTAAAAACACAAACCTTCTTTCTTTTCAATTAAATTTAAGGAAAAGGGATTTTGGTCTTTATAATCAAGGGGGATTATGAACAACAGTGTGTCATGGAAATGCAAAATGACTGGAAAGCAATTGACAGCAACATCTTCTGTATTCTCTCCATATTAAAACTGTTCTTATGCTCACTCTGTCACTAATTTAATTAAAGTTGGCATTAATTTCACTTTGGTTTGTGTGTGTATGTGTGTGTGTGTGTGTGTGTGTTTTGAGATGGAGTCTTGCTCTGTCACCCAGGCTGTAGTCACCCTCCACCACCTGGGTTCAAGCAATTCCCCTGCCTCAGCCTCCTGAGTAGCCAGTACTGTAGGCATGTTCCACCATGCCCGGCTAATTTTTTTGTATTTTAGTAGAGACGGGGTTTCACCATGTTGGTCAGGATAGTCTCAATCTCCTGACCTCATGATCTGTCTGTCTCAGCCTCCCAAAGTGCTGGGATTACAGGTGTGAGCCACCGTGCCCAGCCTCACTTTGTATTTTTATTAACTATAAACACTAACATTTAAAAATTGAGCAACTTTGTCTGAATTCAAGTCTTTGTCATTAATGTGTATTTAGACATGTAAATGTTTTCAAGCCTGCTTCTGTCGTCTATAAACAGTGAGTTTTGATCTGCAAACATCTGGTATCTCATTACCTGGATGGTTCGGACCAACCTAGTCGCTTCCAAAAACAGGGTTTTAGCTCATCTTGATGAAATATAAGAGGAAGGAAAAAAAAAAACCACATGATTAATTTCTAGGTCAAAGGGTGCCAGTATCATATTAGTGCTCCTCTAATTTAGGGTAGACTGTTTTACCTACAATGGTTGTTCTATTCTGCCAGATAAGACTATTTCTAAAAACACAGTTAATGGGCTTCCCCTCCTAATATTCTACAGTTTTCTGCTGCAGCAATGGACACTAATGACACTAATTCACCAAGTTCCTGTATCATCTTCTCAGTTAAATCAATACTGTTAATAGCTAAATGCCTACACAATCTGGACCCTGTGCAGTCAGGGTTCTCAAGGAAACTGAATGTACTCATGGCTGGTTCAAAGAAAGATCCTTAATGAAGTGACTACATACAGAGGTTTAGTTAAAGTTAAGGGAACAAACAAGGAATGTCAAGACATCCAGTGATTAGCAACAGTGGGAAGACTAAGTCTGAAGGAACTGAGTGTTGGAGATGAGAGGTTAGTTACTAGAGCCTAATAAGAGCTGGAATTGGAAAGAATGTGCTGCCTATAGAAGCCACACTTGTGGAGAAACACCACTTCTACCAGGCACAAGGTGCTAAAGTAAGCAGGAAGGCAAAGTAATACCCCAACTTCTCTCTAGCCCCATCATCTTCTGCTAGGGCCTATTGCTGGCTAACAGGAAGCCCAGGACATGCAGTCCACTCAGGCCAGCATTCTGGGGCACAAAGCAGGGCAGAGATGGGGAGAATGAGAAGGAAATCAGAAAGGGATAAAAGGAATACCAGATGATCTGAAAGAGTTTATATCTCTTAATTCCCTGAGTAGGAAGAACTTAAATATAGGAGAGTATCATTGTAAAGGGCATATCAGAAGCCTTCAAGCTCTATCAAAATAGTTTTAAAATTAATTTATAATTTTCACATTACTTGTAGACTCCATTTAAATTTCATAAAATATTATTTCTTACTGGATTTTGCAGCAATAGATTTAGATTTGTGAGCTAAATTTAAAACTCTTTTGAAGATGTTGGACAATTAGAAGCAAAACATCTCTCCAGACAATGTGCAAGATGATGATGATGAGACTGGGCAAAAGCTTGCTTTAGAAATAGAATTGGAATCCCAGAACTTTGGGAGGCCGAGGCGGTGGATCACGAGGTCAAGAGATCGAGACCATCCTGGCCAACATGGTGAAACCCTGTCTCTACCAAAAATACAAAAAATAGCTGGGCATGGTGGCATGTGCCTGTGGTCCCAGCTACTCGGGAGGCTGAGGTGGAAGAATCGCTTGAATCCAGGAGGTGGAGGTTGCAGTGAGCGGAGATTGTGCCACTGCACTCCAGCCTGGTGACAGAGCAAGACTCAGTCTCAAAAAAAAAAGAAAAAATGTTATTACTGTTTTTGTGATAAAGCTATGATTGGAAATTAACAGAAAACCTGGGCTGAACTGCAGGGAAAGATAAATTATCAAAGGTAAGAGGATTATGTATAACATCTGGGGAACATTTCTAAATAAC